CTGGTCACTAAAGTGTTGGTACATGTCCAGAAATCGGGATATGTATGTATGTGGGTTCTCACTAGCCATCCCGTAGTATTGATACCCATTCTGAAATAGTTGAATCACATTTGTTTTCAGCTGGAAGTTCGGTTGCCCAAATGGAAGATACACAATGCTAGATTGACTCTGGACCACCAACGGTGCCATGAAGTCCCCAAGTACTATATTCCCTTCATCTTCAACCCCCGCGCCTTCTTTGAGTTGAATTACCGGACGATTTTGATTGTTAGTCATTTGTTGTGCAACTCTTGCTTCTCTTTGCCTGTGACGAAATGTGCGTTCGATCTCTGGATCAATGGGAACCAAATTTCTATCAGGTGATCTTTGCATACAAGCTCTAAGATAGCAAAATAACACAAAATTAAATTAAAGTAAACAATAACTAAGTCTAGTAAGTTAACTACTACTAATCTAGGTAAGTTCGAATTAGTGTCACAATAGATAAAATTAAACTAAATTTCAATCCCCGGCAATGGTGCCAAAAACTTGTTTACGAAATTATTTCTTTCGATTTAAAACTCACCACAAGTGTACGGTTTTTTAACAAGTAGTAAAATGAACTATGAGTTCAAGTATCGATCCCACAAGGATTGAATTAGTTCAAATCACCCTATTATGACCTTAACCGAAACACGAATGTAAAATTGATGTATTATGATTTAACTAAGGAAGATGTGAACTCTGATGCAATTATGAATGAGAGAATTATATTAAATGCAAAATGACTTGAACACAATCTACGAGAATTTATGGAATTAATGAATTTACTAACGCACTAAGATCACGAATTCCCAAACAATACCCGTTCAATTTTCAATCGTGTAAATTTGACACATAGTCTCACAAAAGATGAATCAATATTCTTATTTTAATTTAGCAATCTCTTTCGAGCAATGTCAAACCTACCCCAATATGTGATTTGACTATATCTCTATGACGAATACTAACATACCGGAATGCATTATGATTTCATGAATATCTAACAATTCACACAAGGCAAGGAGATATATTTCTATCCCCTATCGGACCCTATGATGATTTATACTATGTCGAACCTATTTTCCTTCTTTCGAATGCATAAAACAGGCTACTAAAATCATATAATTACGTGCATAATAATAATATGGAAATAAAAACGTAATAAATCATTCAATTTCGGAATATGCGTTTAAATATGTCAAATAACCAAATCAAAAATCAAACGTCGTATTGCAAGGTTCATCGATCTCCTAGCAATGAGAAATCTAACCTAACATGCTAAAAAGAAGAAAATACAAAAATAGTTGAAGAAACATCATCACCCGAATCAAGTTTCAATCGAATCTTCACTTAGCGCGATGTTTTCCTCTTGTTCTCTCTTCGTTTTCTCCTTCAAAATCTCTCTTTTTCTTGTCAAAACGGCGTCCCCTTCGTTCTGGTCAAGTTTTTGTTTATACAGGACCCTAAAAATCTTGTTTTCATAAGAGTTTCGGTGGAATAAGGAAACTACGGGTTTTGCCTCCGAGTTGCTCTATACGACCGCATAGAGTAAATATTTACTGAGAAAAAATTCTCGGTTTGCTTCTGTGTGGCCGCATAGAGGGGTCGCATAGTGCTACCAACTTGGAAAAAGTCTATTTTAGTCCTTGTACTTGAATCTTTCACTTCTTGGCATCTTTTCTTCATTCTTTCCATTCCATCATCTCAAGATATCATTAATTGGCATTTGGCTTAATCAATTTCTTGATTTGTTCATCGGGTCAACTTTTGGATAATTGCACCTTGGTCCCTGAACTTTCACTTTGCGTCATTTTAGTCATTTTTCGCGTCTTTTCTCCTGAATTCCATCTTGTTCATCGATGTTCCCTACAATTCACAAATGTAACGAGATTAAGTCACGATTAAATTATTTTGCTCGTAAGTAAGTCATGTTTGTGACCTAAATAAGTGTACAAAAACACACTTATCACGAGCCAAGATATTTGATCGAGAAACAAAGAGAAAGTACATCAATGTAACTAGAGACAACCTTACTATCATTGCTATTGATGATATAAGCTAAGAAGTAGATAATGATAGAATTATTAATGAAAAGAAAGATGAGATGGAGTTTGCAAAACCATAGAGGGGAGAAAACTTTTAACCTCCATACACTAAGCCGGAGGTGCCTATTTGAGATCAATACAACTTTCTTGAAGTCATACACTGTTAGAATATTATAAATTTGTGTGTCTATTACAAAGTAGAAGACGTTATTTATAAGGTTATAAATAACTCTAAAATGAAAGAGTATGTGATAATTACATAATAACTATTAAGGAAAATAATCCTACACAATTGAAAAACTATTATAGAGATTATTCTTTACAATCTTTTCGTATCTTCAATACCCTCTCTCAAACTCAATATGGTGTAGTGATAATAGAATTGAGTTTGAAAATTAAATAGATCCAATCAAATCTTTTTCTTCCAATGATCGAATGATAATTCAAAATTACTTGTATGTTAACCAAGTCAAACAAGAAACTCAAAGTTGATAAGAATAAAAAATCATCATTCACCAATGTAATCAAACAATCACTAAGACTTGAAGGAGAAACCTACAAGTATAACGAACAATGTCAAAACAAGAACCTCAAATGATTTTAATAACTGGATAGGCAAAGATAGAACATGTTTAATAGTCGCACTTCGAATAGTCCATGGGTAGTATCAGTACTACACTTATATATGAAGGAAATACTGATGAAACAAGAACCCTGGTGCACAAGGAGGCCAAAAGTACAGATGTGATGAGAATAAATTCAACGAAGAAAACATGATAATTCTCGATTTTCTTGAAAATCAACTTTCCAAGAAGGAAGCAACAATAATAGTCAACGTATAACAGAATTTGAATTAATCTTAAGTTCAAATTCAGATTAAATCACGAAAAAAAAAGAAAAAGAATTTACTAGACAGAACAAAGAAAAAAATTGACTAAACATGGACATTTAATCAAAACAAGAAAATTTGACTGAATGAACGGCATAAGGCCACTCGTCAAAGAATAAAAGCTTATAGGTTTAGCTCATGTTAGAATATTATAAATTGTATTTTATAAACTTATGTTTCTATTACAACGTAGAATGCCCTATTTATAAGATTATAAATAATTCTAAAAGAAAATATTGTGTGATAATTACACAATCAACTACTAAAGAAAATAATCCTACTCGTAATTGAGAGAATATCATAGAGATCATTCTTTACAGTCTTTTCATATTTTCAACATATACACTAGTAAGAGAGTTCATGAATGAAGCCTGAAGACTAATCAATGTATACTTCTTCGGAAAGAAAGCTTTGTAAAAATGCATTGTTGACATCAAGCTAACGAACTCATAAGTTGTATTTAAGAGCCAAAATGATGAATATACGAGTTATAGTAGGTTTGACAACGAGATTGAAAGTTTCATGGAAATTGACCCCACCTATCAATTGTAGTTGGTGAACAAAAAATGGTTGTTATATTCACACTATATCATTTTTATAAATACTCGACATTTTAATTATATTAAATGTCAAAACCTTTATTCATTATCACACTCGTATCCTTAATTTTTTTTTTAATCATATTCTCATTCTTCATCAATCATAAAATATTGTCCTTAATCATAGGTTTCGTCCAAAAATATTGTCACTAATCATGGGTTCCATTCAAAAATATTATTAACATGCTTTAAAATGAGGGTCAAATATTTAATCACATTTTAACATTATTGTTATTTGTTTTGCTGATTTAAATATACAATTGACAAATGAGTCTTTTCACTATATCTTAAGAAAAATTTAGAGATAAATCATAATCAAGAATAATTTATATTAATTTGAGAATAAGAATACGATGGGAGAAAAATTTAAATCATGAATATGATAATGTATAAATATTATGAACATTTAATACAATTAAAATATAGTCTAGTTATTCTATAAATAGATTTATCCAATAGGAAAATACTCCATTAATTTAAATTTAGCCTCCATTTTGTAGCAATTTTTCATTCCAAAAAAATTAAATTTTTGATTGTTATTTCACTATTTCAATTGTCTTTTTTCACATCTTCACTAATAGGTGGAACCATTGGCAAACACATTGGGTCCTAGTGGGTCAAGTAACCCACCAGCTTCAAAATGGTTTTTTTTTTTTTTTTTTTTTTTTTTTTTTTGGAACAGACTCCAAAACCACGCAGAAAGAAGAGAATCCTTCCATTACCAAACAACAATTGAATTAATTATTTTCATTGGTAAATATGTTTTATTGATAGACGGATTATTTTTTAACTCGAATTGATTGTTTTAATTGGATATTTGTATTAGGTATAAAAAAGTGCTTTAAACATGAGTCTGTGTCTAAAGTATTGAAAATGATATAATTATAGAATGTGAGAATGCGTAGAGAACAATTGTAATAACATATCGAATATATTATTTTTAGTAACTTTTTTTTATAAGTTTTATTGTGTTCCTACTAACTCCAAATATCTGCGTTCGTCATCGAGTGAAACTCACTTTTCTCTCTAACGATAAAAAAAATTAATTCTCATAATAACTATCAAACATGCCTTAATATGTTACACACAATACAAAGGAAAGGTCTGAAAGGACCTCTGCCGCATGCCAGTAATTTGTTCAAAAAAAAAAAAGGCTGAACCCCAATTTTGAGGGCCCCCACCGTCCCATCCCTAGAGTTTTGTGAGAGAGGTAAATCGCGGGATGTGTCCTAACAGGCCAGGGAACAAGAGTTATTTGTATACTGCGCCTACAACGAGTCAAATTTCATGTCTCAGGAATCGAACCCCCACACTGCGGCTGTCAGCAAGACGTGAGATAACTTCACTCCTGTCTTTTGCACCACTGGGCCAATAATTTGTTCTCGTAACTTGTCCTAATTATTAATAATTATATGTAATTAAAGTAATTGTATATTTCTTAAATACATCCCCTTCTCTAGAAGTGGAAGCGTTTCTTATCTGCTAAAGAGAGTTAAGGCACGGTACATTAAGAAACTAAGCAAAGAACGGCTAATCGTCAGCCAAGTTGAGAATGGCAAATCTGGCTCAAGAAGAAGGCAAGAAGCCCGGCTTAAATTCATCCTTCATCAATATCGGAGTCCATAGCCAGGTGCGTCACTCATATTTACATTGTGTTTGCCCCTTCCTATTTTTACAAGATAAGAACGCAATTCTTTCCTGTGGTTTTCTATTAATAATTTTTTAATCGATTTTAACAACTTCATTTGAATATTTATGGTTTTTGATTTTTCTGAGTTTGTTTGGTTTCCTTTATACTTTTATGCATATATATACAGTCAGATAACACGGAAAAAAAAAAGTACTATAAGCCTCTATTTGGTAGAGATTTTTATTTTGTAAATTATGATTATTTTTTGAAGAATGTGTGGTTAAAAGGCGTGGAAAAGTTATGGATTCAAGTTAGCCCTTATTATAGTGGCAGAATAAGCTATTTAAAATGAATTCGAGGAAAAATGAGATTTGGAAAATGAGTCCAATATTGATTAGGGTATGTTTGATATAGATTTTTGGAAAATAATTTCAACAGTACATTAATCTTCTATTCTCCAAACTCAAATTCGACAATATATTCTTCCAATAAAAGTAAAATTATTTTATTGAAAAAATATGTCGTTGAAAATGAATTTAGAACTTTTGGAGAATAGAAGATTAAGGTACTGTTGAAAACTTCATAAAATTAGTTCCAATTTTGCCAATAATATTTTCAGAGTATTTTATGTTTCACAATCTTTGATATGCATTAGTTCATGAATATTTCTCATATAGCCACTTTATATGTAGGAGGCCGATGTAGTCTTTTTCAGGATTAAGAGAACCACACAACTTAAGAAGCTCATGAATGCTTATTGTGATAAACGAGATCGTGATATCGTCTACTTCGAATTTCTTCTTAATGGCGATCGCATCAAAGGGGAGCAAACTCCTAATGAGGTCTTTTTTCTCTCATCCCTCACTTGTAGATCAGATTCATTTTTATGCCAAAAAAATTGACATGTAGACTCTTTCGATAAATGAGAGAAAGGAGGCTTTAAGTTTGTTCTGATATCATTTTGAAATAACTCGTCTAAAGACGCTTAAACTTTAACAAGGAATTACAATTTTTAATTAAATTTAATTTCGGCTAACAAAATAAATTGCACATATACACAGACATGGCTAGACTTCATGACCCAAACAAGTGTAATTTCTGGATTTCTGTTAACAGCTGGGAATGAAGGATGGTGATCAGATCGACGCTTTCACTCACTGTGATGGAGGCGCTCTTGCTTAGTTACAATTCAGTCTTTTCAACGAGTAGTCGTGAATGTAAACCGTTCTAGCATTTAGTCTGCAATCTATGTACTGTTTACATTGTGGCACTTTAAATTTGAAGATGATTCGGTGATGCTGTGGATGTATCAGAAGTTATTGTTTATAAATAGAATAATTCACTGTTCTGTACAGGCTAGACACATGTCAAGGTGGGTGGGTGGGTGATTATTTAAAAAAAATAAATTCACCACTCCACTTGCATGTGTGAGTGGCCATGTATAGTCAGCTCGGTTGTTATGAATACAGTTACAGCTAATCTCTGCTAGAAATTTCAGAGTTTGTATATTTTTTTCCCCTACTTCAAATTTGTGCAACTCCAACAGGGGCGTCCAAGAAGAATTTTTAAAATTTACTGAAATTCTAATTTTTAGCTAAATCAAACAGAGAGTTAATATTTAAGTAAATGCTAAAAAGACTAAATATTAAAGCTCGTTTCTTTAAAATTGTGTACTTAGTTGACTTTGGAAGATAACAATTTAAGGGCAAAATCTCATGGATAAACTATCTAGTCAGGGGAGGACCCAGGATGGAAGTTCAGTGGAGCAAAACCAAAAAACCTTACCGCCGAAACCAAAAAATCTGAAAACCTCAAAAAACCTGGAGAAAAATTGGAAATCTGAAAATTGGGTGAGGGCGGCCAACCCTACTGGGCATCAAGTAGGTCCGCCCCTGTATCTAGTGGTTATAGATGTATAGTTCTTTGATCAACTCAGCCTATTGAAGCATTTCTCTTTTACACAAATCAGGAGTTGTATTTTCGTTTCTAGATAATGCAAATTCCTCGCATCAATCAACCGGCTACAAAACCTCTATTTAAACGATGCAGCTTTCCTCATTTTGCTGATCATTAGTACCAGAAAACAGAGAATACCTAACCGTCAGCCAAGTTGAGCCCGGCCTTGAAGTCGTCTTTCATCATTATCGGAGCATAGGATCCATTTGCAACTGCCCATTCTTTACTTGTACTTAATTATTATTCGAATGTCTATTTTATTTTATTTTATTTTATGTTCTTTACTGGATTAAAGTGTAATTATTTCCTGTGGTTTATGATCAACAAATTCTGTTTTTATCGAGTTCCACGAGTTTATTTCAATATTTGTAGACATGGAAGGATCTGAGAAGTAATTAATAGTGCCCACGGATCGGAGATGCCAAATAGTGCAGTTGGACACGTCGATAACGCATCAGACAATTCAACACCACAACTACAATTCAATTTATTTATTTTTCCTTTAAAGGTAAGACAACAACGTTTAACAATAAGTACACAATGTAACAACAATTAAAGTTATCGACAAGATAACAGCATTCCAGCAAATTCATCTCAATACAAAATACTATTAGATACACAGAAAAATAATGACGACAAACATATTACTTGCTAAGTGTTAAACATGTATAACTTAGCAACGTGAAATTGAGTGTAAAGTAACTTGAGTTGAGCAATGAGCAGATATCAATCAGATTAAAAGATGATGTAATAAGCAGATGTGTATTTATTAAAAAAATGGGATTACTTCTGTTTCGCGTGAGTTAGTCGCTAACAATTAAAAAGGGGATCAGACGATTGTGTAAGGGACAAACCTCTTGAGATAAAGTCTCAAAAAAGGGTGTTTTTATTGGCGATGACTTTATAATTGGAAAATAAAAACAGAATGCCTCCAAGGGGCCCAAGCACACGAGTTACTGAAAGGAAGTGTTTAAATCTAAACTAAGAAATTTAAAGTTACATATTCTCTGTTTGAGAGTGTTTGATTCGGGGTCCTTTGCTCTATATCCTTTCTTCCTTTTATACTCTCTGGATGATCTCTTCGTGATCAACCGCTTAAAAATTACTTGATCACTCTATAACTGCTCACTTTTCTCGTAGTGGCCAATTTGTCATGGAACTGCCTTATCTAATTGCCGCCATTACCTTTTGTCGTTCAACTGTCTTCAATTGAATTCCTTGAATCGTGGAACGTGATAGGACTACCCAATAACTGCTTCATTAACTGCACTTTTGGGTAAACATAACATCTTAAGTTTGCTAAGATGTTGGACGACTCGAATGTTTGGGCGAGAGCAGGGTCACAGCTCTGGGCGACTGCATGGCAATTCATTCGCTCAAATCTTGGGCGACTTGCAACCTTGGGCGATGGTATTACCGCGTTCATGGGCTTCCCTATTTGGACCTTTATCCTGCATTGCCTGATTGGGTCGTTCTTTGAGCTATTTGATTTTGGAGATCTTCCAATTGGGCTTCATTCCTTGGGCTATTTGATTTGGGCTGAACTTTTTGTGTGTCAACAATTACCCCCCAATATGGCAGAATTAATACCAGTTATTAATTTTTGCCATATTCACTTTGTGTTTCCCAGCAACATTCGAAATTCCCAAGAATTTCAATCATTGTTTTCTTCCATAGCCTGAAAAGGTGCGACGTTTGCGAATCCTTATAATTCCCAAATACGCAATTTCATTGCACCACTAAATCACGTCTCATTTTTTCGCGCTTCTCTCTCACAATATTACTGTTCATCTCCTTGCTTCTCTGCTACGTAACTCTGAAAAACTCTATTTCGTCCCTAACGGCTGCTTCACAATCCCAGTCTGGTGACTCCTTCAGTTTCGAAGACTTTCAGAAATTCCTTACTCGGCCATATATAACTCTGAACTTCCTTGCACCGGCTAATGTCGAACTCAATGAGTTCTATCTAGGTCCTTTATTCAACAATGCCGAGGCCATCGAACAAGCGGCGGTCGGTCACCTGTTCCCTTGTACTCAATGCCCTCCGTTTCTAAATTCTTTGCCGCTGGAGCCACTTAGCGAAAGAAGTATTTGCACTTAGCCTAAATCTGATGTCGTTCTTAGCTTAAATCTGATGTCGTTTTTCGTAGATGGCATGCTCGCCTTGTGGACCATGGTCATACTAAGGCAATTTTTTATAATGCTAGGATTTTTGATTTGTTAGAAATCTCTCTTCAACCCCCTATTTTTTACCCAACACTTTTTCCAATTGCTTTAAGTTTTTGGTCTTTTGAGTATAATACTTTTGTTTTTTCTCTTGGTCCCATGTCCATTACCTTAAGGGATGTTGGGGCCCTAGTAAATCTGCCACCTTTGGGCGATACCATTTTTCCTGATATTTTGATTTCTGGTGTCGCCCTAAAATTTGATAGAGGCCTCACCGAGTCTTATTCAAGCCTGCAAACCCTTCATAACCACTTGAGCGCTGAGCCTTTCTATACTGAGCGAGTGGCCTTTTTTCTGATTTGGCTTTGTAAATACATTTTGTGTGTGCCAAGCATAAAACCCTCCATGAACTATTTACCCATAGCAAACAAATTAGCGCGTGGTAGGTCTCTGAATTTGTGTTCTTTCTTTTTAGCCGTCCTCTATAGAAGCATGGCTTCTCTTCACTCCCAATTGAAGAATGGTGTATCTCCCACTGGCAGTGGGCCTTTTTGGTTCACTCAAATGTGGTTGAGAGTCTATTTTCCATCGCTTGGTACTCCATCTTTTTCTAGTCCTTCTGCTAGCTGCTATGGGCTAGTCATTGATCCCTTGACTCCTATAAATATGTCCAGAAGGGACATTTTTTCATTCTTTTATACTTTGGATTCAATCTTTTCCTTCTTTCATTTTCCTCCCTTTTTGACTTCAGATTATCTGCAACCTCCATCCACTCTGGATAGTGCGAACACTTCCTTGTTCGTTTGAATTCAGTTTTTGACCGGGAGGAAGTTGTTCCATGATATTTTGACTGGCACCAATTCCAAAGCTGGGGTAGAAATATATGCTCCCCAATTTTTTGCTCGAGAACATGGTTTTGGCCAAACTTGGCCCGTTCCTCCTTACTATTCAAGGAATTTGATAGACCGCTTCCACACCATTAATAAGGCAGAGGCAGAGGCTATAAATGCTCGCAATATTCTTTTGACGAGCAGCTTTTCATTAGTCCCCTTCAATCCTAACCGTGCCATCCATCCCCTTTTTAAACGACTCTGGCCGTCAGTGAAGCGTAGATTGTTCGTGATTGATGCCAATCATGCTTTCCATTCACTGGACCAGCCAAACATTTCTTCCACCTCTCCTGTTTTGGTCACTCTTGTGTCCATTAGGAGTCCCTCTTCCTCTACTCGTGCTAAACAATCTGCCCGTCCATCGACTTCTCTTCTTGCCAAGCCCATTGCAGCTAAAAGTGTCCCAAGTCGCAAACGGCCAACCTCATCGTCTCCCATTTTAGAGGATGATGCTGATGATGATGATGATATCCCTCTCATCGTCAGGAGGAAGGTAATTAAATTGGTTTACTCATAAGCATATATTTCCATACTTGAAAATTTTCTATGTGCTGATAGTTTATTTGGACTTCTCAGAAAAGTTCAACCTCTCCCTTGAAGGCTTTAGTGTTGGCAGCTCCTGCTCCATCATCCTCTGCTGGGGCTGCTTCGTCCAAACCAGTTGATGAAGGGACTACGCTTAAAAAGAAATCTTCAGTCCCAGAATCTTCATCACAACCAATGGACGAGCCACCTTCTTCCCAGGGCGTTGACCCCCCAAACGTTGAAGCAGAAGGTAATTTATTTTTTGATGCTTTACCTTTGCTTGTGCTATTGGTTTTGATTTGTTGCCTTTTGAGTTTTGCAGATGCTCCCATGAGTCTACCCGTTGCGGCAAGGTCTTCTCGCTTAGATAAAGGGAAGTCCTCACGAATGGTGGAGCCACAGATGGCAGATTTGGCTGGGGATATGCCACCTTCCAAGATTGCTGATGAGGTAATCTTTGCTTCACCTTTACCTCCACTTTGTTTAGTGTAGTGGAAACCTTCAATATTGGTGATTTTCTTTGCAGGATGCTGATAAAATTGTGCGTTCCATTCAAAACTTGTTCACTTCCTGGGGGCAAGTCAAGACATCTCGCCCTGCTTCAGCCAGTTGTCCTACCTTTTCAGAGGAAGATATGAAGTTCCTCAAACAGTTGATATTTGAGTATGTGTCCTTCATGGATATGGACATCGGTAAGGCTAGTGCTGCCAAGCATAAGTATAAGTTTGAGCATTTGAATGCGAAATTGGAGCAAGCACTGACATTTCCGTCGCTCAATCTTTCTGCTGATTTTTAAGTGACGTTGAAAGTTGTCCATTCCGAGGTCCTCTCCTTGCTGGCCAAGAATGTTGAACTGAAGGCCAAAAGTACTCATTATCTTCGTACCATATCTGAAAAAGAGTCTTTACTTCTGGAGATCAACAAAGCTGAAGACG